GGTCAAGTCTTTGGTCACTGGTGGGGGTGAAGCCAAAAACTGCAGGCGCAAAATGAGGGGAAAAGGGGAGCGGAAAAGGGGAGTGGGCGGGAAGGGGGGGAGGCTGGGGGTGGAACAATAGGGGTGGGTGGGAAGGCAAGGCGCCCCCCCTCCCCCGCCCCATGGTGGAGGAGGAAGGGGGGAGTAGAGGAGGAGGAGGAGGAAGGGGGAAAGAGACCCCAGGGTGGGTGGAGGGCAGGATAGGGCGCAGATTGCTGCTGCATCTGGCTGCTGCAGCTGCTGGTCTGGGCTCTTTATGACTCTTAATGGCACATTTTGTGTTATCTTGGATGGGCAGGCCTATGATGGCACCAGGACAAGTGCTCAACTTTGGTGTTCACATCTAATTCCAATTCTGCTGTGTGGTTTTAGACAATGTACAGCAGGGACCGGCATGTTGATGTCCTCAATCTCTGTGTTGCCCAGTTTGAGCCGGATTCTACTGAGTAYATCAAAGTGAGTATATTTAATAGCTTCTGAAATACAGGTGTAAGTATGGTTATGAACAAGATTTTTAATCTAGCACAGTGAGTTTTGTATTTGATACAGGTGAATGAGAAAGTAAATACCTGAAGATCTATTACGAACAGATGTGTGCCAGATCCATATTTTATTCATAGAACCATCCTTGATTAAAGATGAGGGAATTTCACCTTGAGGAGTAAAGTAGCTTGCTGAAAGTTGCATTGCAAGTAAGAGATAGGATTAGAACCCTCAAAATAACAAAGCCTATTTTCTTTTTAATTTATTGTACAGAAGTAAAGTTACTTACTAAAATTTGCCCAAGTGTGTCTTATAACTCATTAGTACCTTTTTTGTGTGAGGTATTATTGTGGGTAGTTTATGTGATGCCATGAGCCAGGAGAGAGTTTGCTATGGCAAAGCCTATAGCCCAGTACTGGTTGTATGGAAGGCTGCTAGGTAAGTATGCAGGTACTTATCACTGGAGCCTACAGAGTATGCTCAGGAAAGCTTCATAGGGGTCTTAAAGAGTGTTCTAGGAGGGCATGGAACTCTGTGGCAGGGGGAGGTGGGTGAGAAGAGGGGCTTCAGGTGGAGAGAATAGGATGAGCAACAGCTAGAAAATAACCAAGTATACTTGAGAATCCCAGTCATCTGGTGCTTGAACATGCAATGCATACATATATATATAGAGAGAGTGGTTCAAGATCAAGCTGGAAAGGTACTTGGGTCCACAGCACAGGTACCCTTGATTCTAGGCTAGACTTCAGTCAGCAGGCTCTGAAAGCCTTTTGAATAGAAGAAGCCCTCACCAGAGGAACGTTAGTAAGAAGGAATGGGGGAGCTGAATGGAAGGTGAACTGATCTGCTTAGGGAGAAAAGGAGGAGTGAAAAAAATATTCTTGATTTATTTTTTCCCAGTGACAAGAGAGAGTGCTCAATTATTTGCAGCAGTCTGTGTATCTGAGATCCATGCTTGGCTGCTGGACAGAACTAAACAGGGTGTAAAGGTCTGGTGTTACTTGTTCTAGGCTGCCATACACTCCTGTAGTGGAAAAGACACAGATTTGCTGTTTTCTAGGCAAACTCTTGTTAATAAAAATCCTCTTTCCTCCCTGAGTTGAGTTCTAGCAGGAATGTCCAAATTATACAAATTGGCTAATGAGAGTGGAGGCAGTAAGTAGACCTGGATTTACTGGTGCTCTCCTAGCAGCACTCAAGCTGGTCAGTGTAAACTGAGTAATGCTGCTTAGATCTTTTTATTTTCCTGTTTCTGAAGAGTTGCATTTTATGTGGATAGGTTCACCACCAGACCTATGAAGATATAGATAAACATGGAAAGTATGACCTTTTACGTTCAACAAGACACTTTGGTGGAATGGCTTGGTATTTTGTAAATAAGAAGAAGATTGACGGTTTGCTGATTGACCAGATTCAGAGAGATTTGTAAGTATGATCTTAGAAGACTCATTCTTATTGCCCTAACAATGTGTCTGTGTTAAAGCTGTGTATTTTCCCATTGATCGCAGTAGCTTGTGCAGTGATAAACAGAAGATTTCACTTACCTCAGCTTGTGTGGGTTTATTCTAGCATGACTTAGTTTTTCTAGTCCTTGCTTTTGTGTTGCATAATAAGACTGGATTCTTTTGAGAGGAAGTGACTTTGGATCTGCRTGGTAGGCTGTGAGCATTGACTTATCCTGGGCTCACCAGTGCTTCTGGGTATCAGTGAACTTTCCAGATACTCAAAGGATGATGAAATAGCAAATGTAAAGAAGTAGACTTGACCCTTTATGGGTGCTTGTTTTCTTTAAGAACTATTTCTAGGGCTCTTAAGTAAGTCATCATTTAACTTAAAAATACTTTTGCTTTTCCTAAAAAGCTTGCTTTCTCAGGATTTAAAAACATCAAAAAGGTTAGTTTTTTCAAAACAATGTAGAACAAAGACTTGAATTTTAGCTTCAAACTGGTTTCCTTCCAGGTTCTAGCTGAAAATAATATAAGCATGCATTATTTTGTTGTGCTTTACAGATATTGTGTTTTATTATAAATTGAAGATTGATGACAAACTTGCATTAAGCAAATTCATTAGCACCAGTTTTTAGATAATTATTAGCATTTTGTAGCGATAAAGTGTTTTTTAAGCAAATGTATGCATATTGCCTTTTTAGATATAATGTATTGTACACTTAAGTAGACCACAAAATTGTGTAAACTCTATGCACCAGGGAACCAAAAAATTTGTGTGACTTTGTCATGGCATTTGCTTTATTGTGTGGAGCTGAAGCTACGGTATCTCCAAGATATGGCTTTAGTGTACTTTACAACTAGTGATAAAACCAGAAAGAATTGTTTTTTTCCCATTTTTCCCCCCATTTCCTATTCTCAATGCAGGGGACATTGAGCTGACTGCATATTTTTTTATTGGTTGGGTCAGGAAGGCCCAAAATGACAAGGAAAAGAAGTGAGCATGGCTGTCAGAAAGTCAACTTTCTATAAAAAGCCTTTTCTGGGTTCTAAAGTCTGAAGAAGACTATTTACTGATCATTGGCATCTTCAGGCTGTTGGARTTTGACTCAGAGTAGCCTATGTGCAATTTGAACCATGCACACAAAGTAAGGCATTTGGAACTGGAAGGTTCCATGTGCCCATGTTTGGAAATAGTATCATTTCTCCTAGAAATAGCAGTCCTAAGGGTGATGATTCCCAGGCCAGCCTGAGTCTGTAGCAAGTATAGTGTGATTCAGTACAGAAGGCAGAAATATGCCTTCATCCTCCATAATAAGGGCTGGAGTGATTGGGATGTGCAAAGAGTGTGCCTTGATGAACTTCAACAGTGACATTTATGAATGAATTTTTTGCTTAAAAGTTCCTCCAACGCAGTCATTCTTAACTTATTAAAATATATTTTTATAAGAAATAAGATCAACAGAGATGTTTAATAAGTTTTAAAATGAAAAGTTCTTTACTGAGGTATACTAACCTGCCCCCCTACCAGCCTGAGGAATGTCTGAAATATCATGTAGTTTGATGTTGGCACATACGTGTATAGGCCTGTCAATGAACAAAGCCCATCTGTATCATTAAGCTGTTTTTACTCTCAGACTTGATGATGCCACCAGCTTGGTCCAACTGTATCACATGCTCCATCCAGATGGCCAGTCTGCTCAAGAGGCCAAAGAGCAGGCTGCTGAGGGAGTCAATTTAATTAAGGTAAAGGGTCTTTTTTTCCACATTGGCTGTTTTGTGATGCTGATTGAGTTGGGAAAAATTTAGAAGTGGGTCATATTTAGCAGTAACTAAACAAATCTGTGAATATGAAACATTTGTGATCTTGAAAACATCAGTGTGATTACAGCTCTCTTGTAGAAGCAGATGGAGTGGGGGGAGCTGGGGGGGAGTAGTCAGGTAGGTGGGTGGTGGGTGTGCTGACAGCTGGAGTCTAGAGAAGTTCAGATAGTTGGGGGCAGCAAGTCCCTGGTTCTTTGAAATACTGCAAAGGCAAGCTGCATTTGAGGTGCTAAGTCACCAGCAGGACCAGGTGAAGGACTAGAATATGTCCCTAGAGCAGTGTGGTGTTATGTTAAGAATATGTCCTATCCTTCAGTGTGGTGACATGCTCACTGGGGAAAACCCATAGGTGTTGAGGGGAGAGGGTGGTGGTGCTTGGCTGGATACTGCCAAGCCTATACACTTCTCACACCATGGGCTACATAGATTTATGTGTAAATGCTGAGAGTTCAGATATTTTCAGGAAGGGAAAGGGAGGTCACTGTGTAATTTAACTTCTAAATGGACATGGTTTTGTGGAACTGGCTTCTGTGCCAATAACATTGTTTGCATACCGAAAAGCAGTTAGGTTACTAAGGATAAAAATGACCACTCTAAGTGGAATAGAGAGAAACTACAGAACAAATCCTGATTTTTCTGTGATTAGCCAGATAAAGCAAAATGCTTTTGGAGAAAACATTCTTTGAAGTGAAAAATGAGTTTGCTAACTCTCATTTCATCTCTTGAACCCAATTGGTTTTCATTTTAATTGTAGCATAAAGTACAATATCAGGTCCTTTTTTCCTGAAAACAAGCTAAAAGAGGTAATAGCCATTCTGGTATTTAGAATCAGTATTGCTTTTTCCAGATCTTGTGTATATATTGCTTTCAAGAGAAGTAAAAATCAAGGGGAAAAGCTGTAACACTTGGAAGACAATTGGGACTCTTCTTGACATGTTAATAATGTCTTTAAATTAGGAAATTTTACAAATAGTATACGTTCTATTGTTTTAAATTGTATGCCCTATTGTTTTAAAACCATTTTTTTTTTTAAACAGGTCTTTGCAAAAACTGAAGCCCAGAAGGGAGCATATATAGAATTAACACTGCAAACTTATCAAGAAGCATTCATGAGTAGTCATTCTGCAGCTTCCTGAAAATATTTTAAAAATACATTTCAATTTACTAAAACCTTCCTTTGTTAATGTTTATCTTAATGTTTAAAAACATCAAGATCAAAAGGTCCTGATACATAGTTTGTTATATATTTTTTTTGTTTTTTAAATTCCACATAGTGCATCTGACAGAAGTACAAAGAAAAACTTTTTACCTTATTTATTTTTCTAGGCTTCAATCTGATAAATGAAGAATATATTTGACTGCCTGATTATGAATTTCTCTAATTATGGTAGATGAGTACACAGTATTTTAAAAGAGTACCAGGCCTTTGACACCAAATAAGCCAACAGTTAATGCAGGTAGAGCCCAGCTTACTGAGGCCAGAGGAACAGGGGTTTTAGACCAATTCTGGAAATGGGTATTACTGGACAAAATCAGGAAGAGCTCTTGTCAGCCATGTTACACAACAGAAGACAGTGTTATAAGGACATCAAGAAAAGTACATAGATGTCCAGTTCTAGAAAACTATGATGAYGTTTGCAAAATGCAGATTTAGTTATACAAAGAAAAGAGAATGCAGGGCTGACCCTTGGGTGAGGTGTGATTTTGACTCGGCCTTCTACAACTAGAAGTCTCTTTTTATTATTCAGAAAGGAAATGGAAGTATTCTCATTAATTCAAAGGATTTTAATGACAATATGAGAAAAATCAAAGCCCAAGTCTGTTTTAATCAATGAAGAAAACACTGATTTAAACTGCACATGAACTCCTCCTAAGAAAAGGAGGCCATGTGCTCCTGTTGGTCCACAGCATTTATATATAAAAACCTAAGAAATTTTTCATATTTCCTTCCAAGCACTGTGGTCAGGGTGATGATCAATATCTATACATAATAATGATTTGTTTAGTCAAATAAATGGAAAACTACAATTCAGTCGTCCAGGATATCTTCATCCAGATTAATATCCGTAGTGTCAATATCTTCTAATTCCAGATTGTCCAAATCTACTTCTAGTTCGAGTAAGCTCTGAAAACAAAAGGAAGATGATGGAGTTCCAAAGCACTGTGTTAAAGAACTTAATGTGTTCCTCCTTAACTGTCCCAAATAACATCTTCCCACTTCAAAGTCCCTACTCTGAAACTTGGGTACATCACCTGCCACAGAGGCCCAGGCAGCCTGCACACAAGGGAGGAAGGGATAGGGGAGGTTTGGATGGTGTTTGACCCACCTTTTCTTTTTCTTTGTTGGCTGTTTGGGAGGCCACGATAACTGGAGTCGGAGATGGGGGTTTCTCATCAAGGTCCTGAAAGCCCAAGTAGAAATATATATATATATATATATATATATAGAAATAAAGGCATTTTTCCACAAATTTTAAACTTATCCTCTGAGGGAAGAGAGATGAGAATTAGGAAGTGGAAGATGGTACTTAAAATCAACAGTCTCAACCAAGTTATCACAAGTAGTACTCACCTGCTTAGCTACAGATCTTGAGGGGTGAAAGCCTTTTGCCTCTTCCATGACATTTCTTTCTTCATTTGGCTATTAGAGAATAAAGCAATGATGAAATGAAAAATCCTGAAATTATATAACTGCTCTAGAAATTCGCCTAAATCCCAGATATTAGCTCTTATCCAGCAATAWTGTATCCAGCACTGTTCACACCCTGCAGTTAATGTGCTCGCACCCTATAGTCACACTAAATCAAGCCTAGCACCTGATCACTCACCCACTCACCGTGACTAGGGGGTACTGTTTGGCTGGCCACAGATCAGCATGTGTTTCCTTCACCCACTCTTCAACAACAAAGGCTTCTTTTAATCCTGGGAAAAGGTTTTCATACTCTGTTGGGTCAGCAAGGGATTCCGCTGCTTTCTGATTGACTTTTGAGAGATTCTCTCTCCAGAGTTTCACTACCCTATTACAGACATGAAATCAAAGAGAAATAACATAAGCATGCCCTGTTTTTATCTGAAATATTTCTTCCTAAAATTAAAAAGTCTGTACCTTGAAACCTGACTGGGTAGGTAAGTTCGGGCCAGGAAGGCAGCTTCTGGCAGTCGTCCGGTTCTGATCAAGAGCTCAAGGCAAGCATCGAGCCTGAAGATTAAGGAGGAGAATAAACACTACAACAACAGCACTTAACATTTGGAAGAAATGTGGATTTAATGTTGCAAGGTCAAAATCTTCCCCAGTCCCCTCACACATTCATCTCATTTCTGTTCCTGGCCACTTACTCATCTTAACAGTATATTACAGATTTGGTGGACTTCAAGAGTGTGAGGGATACGACAGCTTTTATGACTATTTAAGGGCCTTTTCAAGAAGAGACAAAGCAGTTTGGATGAGCAAATTTTGAAGGCTTCAGGATATAGGCAAGTAGAAATTCAGTTTCAGCATCTCCAATGTGGGCTGGACCAGATTATCCAGCGGTGCCCAGTAGAAAAGAAGGTTACCATTATTAAGGATACCATGTCTATTAGCTTCAGTTTTTTTTCCCCCCTTGGCAAGTTTTACAAAGCATTTCAGAATTCTGATTTTTTTTAGTTTTAGGTAAGAAATTGAGTAATAGAAGCACCTAACAAAAACCCCAAACAACATTTTTGTAATAATATGACTATTAAATGCAATAAAAACATACTGAGTAGCATAAAAACAACTCAGTAGTAGAGTTTAGTCAGATTTTGCCTTCAAATGAGTTCTAAAAAAACTTTTCATAATTTTTGGATTTTTGAATTATGCATAAAAGATAGTGGACCTATTTTTGCAGAAATATAAATTCACATATATATGTGTATATATATCATGGTGCACAAAGTTTTAAAATGGGGTGTAGTTCAGGAGAAGAGTGCTTATCTAGTATTTGCATGGCCCTGAGGTTTGTTCCACAGCATCAAAAAAAGAAAGTTTATTTTTTGTTTGTTTTTTGTGGGAATGGGGACTGAACCCAGGAGCCCTTCACTACTGCACTACACTTTCAGTCCTTTTCTATTTAGAGACAAGTCTCACTAGGTTGACAAAGCTGGCCTTGAACTTGTGATCCTCTTATCAGCCCTTCAAGTAGCTTGGATTAGAGGCATGGACCATCATGCCTCGCCAAAAAATAATTTTTATGACGAAGTATGCAGGGCAAATTTAATGAACACWTTTGTGTTTTATTTCATAACAGGGCCAACTAATTTCTAAATGATTTGGCACCAAACTTACAAATGTGGTATTTTTATGCTTTTCTGTTGAACTCAAATCTGAGAGTAATTGGCATTTTCATCCTCCTTCCTCCATGCCACAAGCAGATCAAAATTGTCCAATTTGGGTAAAGGCACCTGCCACTCAGATACCAACTGGAGCAGCACGATAGCCTCCTCCTGTCAAACAACGAAATGCCTCAGCCACTAACTGGCAGGCTGTGGGGAAGGGGTTTAACTTTTATCCCATCCTGAGCACCTCCTTCAGCTCACATTTATATCAAGGTCATGGAGTATCCCTTGCTGAAGCTGAGTGACATCAAGGTAACACTGTCATCCTATTGCCCACACTGTTCAACACCACCTGGCCAGCCATCAGTTCTCTCCAGCCTCACAATTAATGTGGAAAATTTTAATTACTGTGCTTCCCAAGGTCTTTTAGACCTTAGATTAATACTTACTTTCCCTGTAAAAAGTAGCTCATGAATGCCACATTATTTTTGCCATCTCTCTCTGCACCCTCTGCAAGCTTGTTCACCATACTAGCATTTCCAGAAGCAGTGGCTAAAAGCAGCAGACCTCCGTAATCCTGGGCATGGTGCAGACACTCCTGGGCGAGGCCAAACTGGCATTTACTGATGGCAAGTTCAGCAAGTTGTTTCCACTTCTGTTCTGACTAAAAGAAAGAATTTCCAAATTAAAATACCTTTGAAAATAAACATTTCAATCTCCATTATCAACATTATTCTGTTCTCTTGAGCATTCCTGTATAACAATGGAAAATACTGTACACACACACATACAAAGACATACACGGAGCTGTACTTATTAAGTTGGCACTTTCAATCAAAATTAGAATAGCAGGATAAAATGTACAATGAGGAAATTATTCACATATACAAAATTAATTCAAATAATTTTAATGATGCATGAATAAAACAAGCTAAATTGGAGTTTTAATGAATTAGATTGCAATTATTCTAACAAGTGAATTTAATACCACTTTTTTGAAAAATTATTCTTAAATATTTAACAATAAATATCTGTCATTTGTAGCTTTTCAGAAATCAAAATGCTACACATATAGATGATCTTAACATAGCTAAAATTTATTTTGCACATCTGAAATTAATTTACCAATAAATGCTAGAGTGAAACCACAATTAGGATATACAATATACAAAGATCTATAAAAATATCATCAACCTGTCTTTCAAAAGACATGCCTCTAATCTAGGTTAGAATCCTGCTTTAAAGTGCAGATCTTTCTTACTAGCTTGGGATATTGGCAAATTATTGATGTCTTTATTATTTTAGAATTCCCAGAGTGGTTTATCTACTATCTTAAAATTTTTTCTTCTCTTGCAAAACAGATTTCACTCAAAATAGAAAAAACTTAAGTTATAGTGCTAAGACTGTCTCAAATAAAATGTGTTTGATTTATGCAAATTAACAATGCATCTTTGAAAAAGATCAAAAAGAGAATAATCTCACCAAAATGAGTCACTAATTTTCATCTGGAAACTTTTAATAACAGTACATTATACCAAAGACATGGAAGTACCTGCTGACCTTTCCATCAGTTATAAAAAATCATGAACTTGAAYATACCTCTGCCTCCACTGCTAACTGGTATGCAATTTTCAACTCTCCAAGTTGAAGAGCAAGCTCAAAACGATGTTCAGGATCTGTGGATACTGTAAGAGCTTGCTGTTTGAAGCCCTAAACAAAATTAAAAGCAGAAAACAAATAATATATATGTGTGTGTGATATCTACAAGTACAAAATGTGTTCATGATACAATGTACACACAGAAAAATCATCCATTTCCCTCTTAAACTACTTTGCTGACACAGAAACCCCACAACTTAAACAAAAGTAACATAACAAAATAATGAAAAGCAAAAASTAAGAAGTCATTGAATTAACTGGTAAGCACAAGCCTGACAGAGTATTCAGACACATACTACCTATGTTTTTTTAAGACAATGGTAGCGGACTAATTCTAGATGAACTCAAGTAAACAATAATTAACAAAATTAGAAATGTGAATATAAATAAATATCAAAAAGAAAGGGATTTTGGAAAATTGGTCAAATAAGAGTCACTTCCAAAAAGAAACCAGGTGCACTGGTATATACATAGTGGTAAATCACTGAACAAATCCAGGTCATCTAGTCCAGGCCTTGTTTTAGAGTGGAAGTTATTGCCAGTAAATGGGCAAAGGAAAGGGAGTCAAAACATAAACCTTTCCAATTTTCCATCATCTGTAAGTCACTTAGCAGACATTTTGTATGCAGGTCCAGACGATAATCAGGTGTCACTACCTATGCCTACAGTGTTGGTCTTGCCTTATTCATCAGCAAGTATCCCAATGGTCAGAAAGCCTATGAATTCCTTTCTATGCTCCAGTTTGCCAACAGAAAAGGGCATTTAAACTAATTTAACCACTAAATTAGCTTCTAACTACTAAATTAGCAGAACAGATGGGATCTGCCCTACAAGCAAGGTTTTTAGCTCTAGGGGGGTGGTGCTAGTTGGATGAAAAGCTCAGAGGTGGTTTGTTCTTCAAAAATTGAGGGAGACTGCTCAGTATGGGTGTTTTTAACTTTTCAGATTATAAGTTCTAACAAGTAAATTTAATACCACTCCCCAAATTCATCCATGAATATAAACGGATATTCTAAATAGTCTGAGTTACAGGCCAAGGATGTAGCTTGGTGGTAAAGTGCTTGCCTACGTCCTCATTTTCCATAGAACAGAAGTCACAAGAAATGCTTAAAGCTGAATGAAGAAAAAATATAGGTTATGCTGTGTTGCATGTTATTTAGACATGTGAAAATAAATATGAAGGGAATCAGATAGAAGAATTAAAAGTAATTATCTCCAGAGAGTAAGAAGGAGACAGGAAAAAGGGAAGTCACCTTTTTTTTAAAAGAACTTAATTCATGTGGTGTGCACATATTACTTTGCACAAATACTACAGTAAGAAAAAGACATGTTGGTAATGGAAAATTTTGTTATGTGTWTTTTACCAAAATTTAAAAAAAAAAAGAAAAAAAGACAGATGAGATAGAAAAATGCAATGCAGAAATAAAAATATTAATAAAATGGAAAAGATATATATAGAAGGGGAGGAAAGATAAATCCTTACTGATATTTAAAGAGGGAATTAAGGGCACTGAGAGAGAAGAAAGAAGAATGTAGGTTTACCATAGACTGCAATAAACTGACAGGAGAAATCCCATTGGCACAAGCAAATCACACCAACATTCTTTTAAATGGCTGGTTTGAAAAAACACACACACAAAAAAAGTAAAAAAGGATGAAGAAGAAAGGAAAAGTGGAAGGAAGGAGACAGAAAAGAAGAAAACTCTTACCTGTTTTTCCAAAAAGTGTGCTACTCTGGTCCGCTGTTCTTTTGGAATGGTAGGAAGGACCTTATCCGCCATGCCAAAATCCCTCCTCATGACAGCGGTCTGGTATTCCAGGACTGAAACCAGCAGGGAGTAGCTAACAATATTCAACTCTTTGTCACCCAGATAAAGCCTATTGTCTTTAGGAATATAGCCCAGGAGATACATTGTCCTACCAAAGAAACAGAAACTAAATTAGAAGCCCAACACTACAGTTACACACACACATGACCCACCCCCCCTTGATTCTTGCTCAATATCTTTCCATTTGATTAATGCAGTTTGTTTGACAAGAGGCAATCTACCAAAACCATAACACAGGGAAGTCAGCCTATAATTGCTATAAGCCAGTAATAGGTTCTGTTGAAAGAGCATACTTTTCAATTTAGGATGCTTAAGACAGAAGCAAAACTATACTCCACTACCTGTCCAAGTGGGCAATGGTGACTATTTCTCCTCCAACATAATAATTTAATCTGTTCACAGAACTTGTGTAAATGAAGCAGTCGCCTACCCACAGGCCTGTTTTCACAATTTCCTGAATTTCACCAAGAACCTGTAGAAAGAAAATACTATGATTATATTATTTAACATTGAAAAACTGTCAATAACAAAATGCTGAATATAGTTGAGTTTGATAAGGTAAAAAAGAAGGAATGTAGAATAAAACTCTATTTCAAGAAAGTCTTTCCTTGAAATTTYTATCTTCTTTCTTTTTTTAAGAACAAATTTCTACTGTTAATATTTGTCATATTAAATCTCACTGTTGGTTCAAAATAATGATCTAAAAGAGAATTAACTTAACCCCCAATACACATTAAACTGGAAAATGAGAGATTTTGCAACATCTTTTAGGACATCTACATCAAGGATGATTTATCTTTACCACCTGGGAGCTCATTTAAATCACTCTGATTAAACAGTTTGGGAACAAAACAACTTCAAATTTCCTTAGTGAAAAATATCAGTCTAAACATTCCCTAAAATCGAAGCATGAATTTCTTTTAACATATTTACTTTCAGATTCTGTTTTATGAGGCAAGATTTTAATTTTCACGTTTCACCAGAACCCTTTAAATACTTAGTTTCCTCAATCCAAACTTTAATGAAATGCTAGAATTAGTGCAGTCTTTTTAAAAATGTTTTTTGCTTTTTAAAATTTGTTCTTTTTAGTTATACATTACAGTAGAATGTAGTTTGACATATTATACATACATGGAGTATAACTTCCCATTCTGTGTTGTACATGATGTTGAGTTACACTGGTTGTGTATTCATATATGAACACAGAAAAGTTATGCCAGATTCATTCTAATATCTTTCCCATTCCCATCCCTTCTCCCATTCCCCCCTGTCCAATCTGGTGAACTTCACTCCTCCCATCCTTGAACAGTTATTTTTCTACTCATGTTCATAGTATGACAGATCTTTCCATCTTCTAAGGTCTTCTTCAATTTCTTTCTTTAGTGTTCTATAGTTTTCATTGTAGAGGTCTTTCACACCTCTTTTGCTAGATTCCAATTTTCTTTGAGGCTATTATGAATGGGACAGTTTTCCTAATTTCTCTTTCAGTTAATTCATCACTGATATATAGGAATGCAACTAACTATATACCCTGTTACTTTGCTGAATTCATTAAAAAGTTTTCTAGTCTTCTAAATATAGAATCAGAATTAGGGATAGTTTGAATTCTTCTTTTCCTGTTTGTAACCCTTTAATTTATTTCTTCTGTCTAACTGCTCTGGCTAGTTTCCAGGACTATGTTGGGTAGAAGTGGTAAAAAGAGGGCATCACTGTCTTGTTCCAGTTTTTAGAGAGAATGCTTCCAATTCTTCTCCATTTAGAATGATGTTGGCCTTGGGTTTAGCATATATAGCACCTACAATGCTGAGGTATATTCCTTCTGTCCCTATATTTTCTAGTGTTTTTGACATGAATGGATATTATATTTTGTCAAATGCTTTTTCTAGTACAGTCTCTTTTTAAGTCTATAAATCATTTAAAAACAAAGCTAAAGTCATACTGATGCAATTACCTCAAAGGCATCTTCAATGCCATCTTCAGTAACTCCCTCATGCGTTTCCTGTGCAGCCAAGACTTTTTCTGACAGATATTTAAGGATAAAAAATGATTCCTCAGTGGCAATACAGACGAGCTCTCCTGAATCAGACCAGAAAATCTGTAACACAACAAACACAAACAACTGATTTGGATTTCTGAGTGGGTATGACAAACTGCTTATACCTTGTTTCTTATAAGACTAATCTTATAGTAATAAATAAGCCCTTGATTTTTGCAGTATATTTACATGTATATGGAGGGTGGACAGGGCAGAGCTATTCTATTTAGCCTAGCAGTGGAAAGAATGATGGGAAAGAGGAAGGAGAGCTGTTGGTAACACTGGATGTGCTGGAATTTAGAGGAGTGTCAGCCTAGTCTCTATTGCTCTAGAATACTATTTCTTACCCTTAATTTTTAATAATAAAAATCCCACCCCCATGAGCCTTTTTAGACGTTTTTCCCTAAAATGTCCCCTTAAAATATTTTAATACCATAATTATTCTGTATATTTGTTTACACATATACATAATGAAAATACATATGATACATAGATACATACCTGTTTATACAAAAAAAGGGCAAAGTCCCCCTCCCACCACACCCATTTTCCCACTTGGGGAATCACCATGCTTTAGAAGACAGGGTCAGGACCACAAGGAGGCTATTTTGTCTCCAAAGATACTTTCTGACAATGAAAGTTGTCAGGGTAGTAGGCAGTTAGTTCTAAAAGTACAACATGTTGTCACTAGAGACAGTCACCTGAACCTTAAGCAGCCATCATCAGATAAACCTCAGAAAGCTTTCTGACTGGATGGGGGCTTCTCAGGACCTTCCAAGTCAAGAACTCCCTGACTTCTTGTCTTCAAAGCACTCTTTTCCACAATGTCAAAAGCCATTTGAAATATGAATTGCACTTGGAATTTGCATAACTTTAAAAAATATTTTTCAAAATATCCAATGTTTGCTGCTTCATTTAAGTACCACAATTCTGAGGTAAATAGCACTGTGTGTAGCACTAYGAGACAAGGATAGCAGGGTACAAGGACACTTCCTGGCATCAGGGACCCAGACCTCATCACAAAGATGAACATTCCCAAAACAGCAATGGAGTGACAACTCACGTGTTTGGGCTGAATTTCAATTCTGCGGATGAGTTCCGTGTTGTCCCAGTCATAGAAAGCCAAGCCATTTACAGACCTGACTCCCAATAAGAAGCCTCCGTAGATACCTTAAGAGAACATAAAAAGATCTGGCTTAGATTTTTTTTTTTTAATATTTTCTTAGTTGTAGTTGGACAAAATACATTTATTTTATTATTAATTTTTATGTGGTGCTGAGGATCGAACCCAGCGCCATGCACATGCTAGGCGAGCATTCCACTGCTGAGCACAACCCCAGCACCCGGCTTAGATGTTTTTGAGCCATTACAAAGCTTTTAAAATTGTATCATAAGTAAATGGCACTCACTTTCAGCTCCAAAATCTGGTTTAAATGATTTTTTTTCCTTAAAGTTCTTAAATATCTTCACAACACTGTTGCTCTCTCTTATTGCATATCTGGGGTGGGGGGCGGAGAATAGGGAAGACAAAATACAAAATGATAAGCTAAACCATAATTCCATTATACATTAGAAATATCTTCAACTACTGAGTAATTAATTATGCATAGATACAAAATGAATATTTGAAGATTCATTGATGTATTTTTTCCCTAAGAGATCAGTGAACTCTTTATAGTTGGATAAATAAGGAATGGGTTTCATATGATGTATGACACAGATTAGCAGGACTTATAAACCATTTTAGAAACTGGAAATGACTAGGTGTTTATCAACAGGTGAATGACTAGACAAACTACAATATATGTATACAATACTACTCTGCACAAAAGGAACCAATTACTGATACAGGCAATGATGTGGATGAATCTCAAAATATGCTGAGCAAAAGAAGCCAGTACAAACATGCATACCATATGATCCCATCTATATGAAACTCTAAAGACAATCTACTGTATACAATAACAAAAACATATCAGTATTTGCCTGGGGCTGGGGAGKGGGTGGGTAGATGGGGATGAATGGATAGTTAAGGGAAATAAGGGGATTTTGTGGGGATATAAAAATGTTCTATAATTTGTTTTAGTGGTTATGGATTATATACATTTTTCCAAATCCATGAAATATTTATATACTTAAAATGGTGCATTAAGCGATGTATAATATATAAATTATCTCATTAAAAGTGATTTTAAAAATCTAAGAAAAACTATGATAAATGGCTCATCAGTCAGCCATGTGTGTTATCAAAAGGAAATACTTACATTTAGGTCTCTGCCTTAAAAACAGAGACCAGGAGGCCGGGTATGATAGTGCATGCCTGTAATCCAGCAACTAGAGAGGCTGTGGYAGGAGAATCACAGGTTTGAGGCCAGCCTTAGCAACTTAGCAAGGCCCTAAGTAACTTAGTGAGACTCTGTCTCAAAGTAAGAAGGGCCTCACCCAGTTAGGTCATGAAAAGGCAGCTGCACCTTAGGACAAATGCCTTCAGGAGGGCCTGCAAGGACTTGAAGTTCTGCCTTAAGTCCATAAGCACCAGGTCCTGCCACAGGCTTCATCAAGGAAATGGTGTTGGGTCCCTAGTTTAATGGCATTATTAAATTAGGTTGACTGAGAGAGCTCAATACCAACTACAGAAAGGACAAAGGATTTATACTTCCCAGTTGCCACTGACTAATTTTATAACGGGCTGTGCTGGTAGAATGCATCTTTAACAGGGAGCAGTACAGAACACACCAAATCTCAAGAACCCAGARTGGCACATGACACCTATCAGTAATTACAGCATGCTGACTTAATCATACAGACCAAACTTACTCAGAAGAATCATGAGCCCATGCAAACTCCTGGGCAGAACCAAAGCTCTTGTTTCTCAAGGCCATTGCTGTGTAGATGATATACTCTCCATCACCACACACCACAACAAACCTAGAAATTACAGAAGTCAGGGAGGGATGTACAGAGGGCAAAGAAGTTAAGAAACAGAAATTATATTTATTGCAAAATAATTCTAATAACATGTTATTTCAGCAAATTATTATAACTTAATGTTTTTAAAAGTTATATATTTCTTTGAATATAGAGCTACACAAAAATATTCTAGTCAACAAATCCAAAAGCAAATGATGAAGTTATTGCTGAATATGTTATTGCAACAGCCTTCTCTTATAAACCCAGAAAAATATGGACAAGAAGTTGAGAATGGAGGATTTCAATTATTCAACTAGAATTTGTTGCACACCAAGATGCCTAGCACATTGTTCATGACACTTACACCATAAGAAGGTACTGTCTTATTATAAGATTATCTCCATTCTAACACCAATCATTCAAATGAAGAAAAATATATTCTAATTTTTAGYGACTTCATAAAATTCTAAATCCTAAATTTATTAAATAAAAATAGATGGTGAAGTAGTCAAGTAAAATTTTCCCAGAAGACACAAAACAACTCCCTTCAAAGTTATCATTTAGAACACGGTAAAATTAATGCTATCAAAAGATTTATCAAAGGTAAAATGCCAACCTCATGGCAAAGAATGTTTTATGATATCAAGGTAAATATATATAATGCATTCATAACCTTCATAAGTCAATTAATTAGGTTACAAATAACTTGATATCATTTACTGACCTTTGGCTGCATACTTTGCCTTTTTTAATATTCAAGACACATACTATAATCTTTTTTAAATGATGAATTGTTAATTTCTTGAATTTTCTTTCTCTCTCTTTTTTATTTTTTGCACTGTACTGGGGATTGATCTAGGGCTTTATGAATGTTAGGCAAGCACTCTACCAGTGAGCTACATTCCAGACTTATAAAATAATTTGTAAAGCTCTACAGGTTTAAGCTCATTGTTCTTCGAACTTTTCTCTCACAAGATTCAAAAGATGTTTGGTGCTTTATAGCTCTTAAGGAATAACAATCTGATGGTTCATATTATGAATAAGGGGCAGAATTACCAATTCCAAAACTTTTCAAAAGATATATACCTCAGAAGCAGTTTTAAGAAAAATGAGGGAGCAAATATTAAGAGCACCTACTAAGTATTAAGGTAAGACATGATTCTTGCCCTCAAAGAAGCACACAGGTACACAAACCCAACATGTGTGAAATAAAAACAAATGCAATTTAATTGCTCCACCTTGCATGCCAACCTGTGTCTGTGTTGGGGATCATGCAGCCTGGGCAAAAGCTCAAAGAAGAATGAGTAGAGATGCCTACCCCAGAGATATGCTGTGGATAMGCACACACACCCTGTTCTAACATACACAGAAGCTCAGAAAGAGATTTTGGACATGACTTACCGCCCATTGGGATTGTGCTGAATAGTCTGAGGGTATATTTCACAACTGCCCATATCCTTTACTGCCAGTGGCAATCTTTCTCCATCTTTAATTTCAGCATCTCCCATTGCTTTTAGATTGGCCTGCTGGACTTCTGAATGCTTGGCCCAAATTATCTTCCCATTGGCATCCATGGACATGGCAGGTTCCTCCCGACCAAGCTGGAAGAATGACAAGTGGCTCTTAGCAATGAAAAGGAAAAAATAAAACCACAACAAAATAGATACTCCTTCCCCTTAACAGAGAGGTCTATTTCCTTTCTTCCACTTTAAAACACTGTTACTTAATCTCTAGTGCAGAAGGAAAGAACTGCCAGTTCAACAAAACTGGTGACTTGTAATGAGACAGTACTGAATTACAAAGGAAAATCACTTTGTCAATGTCYATGTGTTTATTTAGAGAGAGAATTACCTTAACAATGATGCTCCCTTCATCATAGCCCAGAGCCACATTGTTGGACCCTCTCAGACTGGCCACACACCACACCCGCTCCATTCCATAATTCAAAGTGCTCTCAAGACGATAGGTGCTTGAATGCCAAATTCGGACTGTTCCTAAAGAGAACAATGTGAATATTCCCTTTTGATACAAACATCCAACAATAAACTGTCAGGTGAAGGAGTCACAGGAAAGTCTTTATATCAACAGAAAACACACCTGCCAACTTAATGACCACTTTTTCCCTATCTGTAATTTTTAACTGATTTTATAAAGGAACATAAACATAATAATAGAAAATCCATAAGAAACTAAAACAAGGAAATGCAATTTGAGGTGTGTAACAACATTTCCTGGGTAGAGTGCTTACCATGTGCCAGATGCTTTCTACACTAATCTCTTCTCATCCTCGTACACAGTCCTATGGAGTGGATATGTGTTCTCATTTCATCATTTGCCCAAACCACATTCACCAAGTGACAGAGCCTGATTTGAAACCCAGGGATGACTCTGACATACAGGATCTTTCAGTTTTTCTCTAGAACATCTGGGTGTCCTCTTCTTTAAGTGATAGAATCAAAACACACCAGAATGATGAAGACGATAAAAATATGTCCCTTTTGTTATTTAGTAGCTTAAGTCTAGTATTCTTTTTTTGGGTGGGGTACCAGGGATTAAACTCAGGGGGGGACTTGACTACTGAGCAACATCCCCAGTCCTATTTTTGTATTTTATTTAGAGACAGAGTCTCACTGAGTTGTTTAGTGCTTCGCTTTTTGCTGAGACTAACTTAGAACTCTTGATCCTCCTGTCTCAGCCTCCCGAGCCTTTGGGACTACAGGTGTGTACCACTGCACCCGGCTTAAAAGTCTAGTGTTCTAATTAAAAAATGTCAGAATCACTGGAAACCTCCTATTACAATACAGCAATGTGGGTCAAACCACTTGACTGAAACACCTACTGAGTAAATAACAGGAGCTCAGGAAATAACATATACTCCAACTTACCATCTTCTGAACCTGTGATGATGATTGGCAACTCAGGATGAAAACTGGCACAAGACACATTTTGGGCATGTCCCTCCAGTGTCTGCACACATGTTTTATTCTGTAATCAAAACACAGAAACAAATTTTATTAGTAAAAAAGTAAGTAACCATCCTTAATTTTCTCAATGCATAGATGCCTTATAAATGATAAAGGTTAAGACAATCTGAATAAGTCAGATATAGAAATTTTTGAAACAGAATTTTACATAAATGAATGCTTAATTTCACAGATCAGATAAATGTAAAGGTAATTATCATTTAAAGAAGAGAAAAAAAAAGATCTAGATTTTCATTTGAATACTATTTCCCCAAATTCTTAGAATAATGAATTTCCCCTACAATATCCACACCTACCATCTGTGGACTAAGCCAGTCAGTACAGGGCTTTGCTTTTAGGTACTTAGTCTGCTAAGTACTACTACTTTAGTCTTTTAACATATTTATTTTGAACTTAGGGACAAATTTGAAAATATTTCAAAGTATAACTGGTTTTCTAAGTCTTACTATATTAACTGCTTTACATGTGAAAAACAAAACAAAAATTTAAAAATATCTTACAGCTATACAAAGCACGGTACCAGGAACTTATATTTAGGTTTACAAGAGTTCTATGTGGCAAAACGGTTGTACCACAGCTATGTTACGACACTTTTGCTGATCTGTTCTCAAATATAAATGGGAGTCCACCAATGAGGATACTCAAGGATGTATAATTTATGTATAATTTAAGATTATAATGTTAAAATTTATAACCTCTATTATTAAGTAAAAAAAAGAAAAGATGTGAGCATATTTTTGAAATCTTGTGCATTTGTGTCTTCTTGTATTGCTTTTTGCAGTGCGAGGGATCAAGGCCAGGACCTTGCACATACTAGGCAAGCACTCTACAAATGAGCTACAACCCCACCCAGTGTTCATTTCTATGGAGACTTCTGGGACAATGTTGGTGCAAATACTTAGGCCTTACATTATTACATTATGAAAAGAATTCAACAACCCAAGTTTTAACTATAAGAAATAATTTTTAAAAATGTCTAGCATATGGCAAGTAAGGCCATAAAAAAATTGTACCTGGTAATCCCATATTTTAACAAGACGGTCATCTGCACCTGAGATGAGGTATGGTTTGTCACCACCACTGTAGTAATCAATGCAATTCACACCTTTCTCATGTCCCTCCAGAGTGAAGTTTGGTGATGAAGAGCCCAGCTGCCACACCTTCAGAGAGCAACAACATCTGCCAGTTAGTACAAGGCTTTGCTTTTAGAAGGCAGATCCAGCACAGTTCTGACATACTAAATAAAAGGCSAAAGCCCAGGAGAGAAAAGCTAAGGAACATTCATTTTTTTCACTTATTTTTGTTAAATTTCCAGAGGGCAGAACTGGTATGGTGTTCTCTAAAAATGCCAATTTCTAGGCTTTATCCCTATTGAATTCAGTTAAACCACAGTGAAGTCCAGGAATCCAGATGGAACACCTTGAGAGAACATTACTTTAAGATTAGGTAAATAATTTTATGGACTATTTAATACACAGCTAAGGAAAGCAGGTTTAGTTAGATGTATTAAAAGACAAAAACTACTGTTTAATTAAAAAATGTAAAATATAGAAGAGTAATAAAAAATTATAGGATTGAGCTTTATGTTTACAAATATTTACTGGGTGCGTAACATGTGAAAGGCCCTATGGGGGGTAAATATGTGTAAAACAAATGATTACTATTTACTCTATACCACAGACTTATGCCAAAGGTAATTCTTTTTCTCAAGATAAATCTAATTTAGTGAAGAATTTTAAGACTAATTTCAAAGTTTCCAACGTATGTCAAAGGCAAGCATAATCCAAAGAAGGAAAAAGAAATAAACTCAAAACCCTAAGATAGTCAGACACATAAAAGTTTATTTAAGTTAAAGAAAAACAAATAAAGCATCATGCATATGTAGCAAGTGTGTGCAAGCAAAAATTGATGATTTTAAATCTATGCCTATATGCCTGTATTTTAAATATTTTTWAAAAATAATTATTTTTTAGTTGTAGTTGGAAACAATATCTTTAATTAATTAATTAATTTATTTGTATGTGGTGCTGAGGATCGAACCCAGGGCCTCACCCATGCTAGGTGAGTGCTCTACACTGAGCCACAACCCGGTCCTATATTTTAAATATTATAATGGAAAAAAAGGAATATAAAYGCAGTCACTGCAACATGTACTAATCATCGAGTGCACCCTAGGCAGTGTCTGGAGGAAGAAGGAAACAAAGTTCCTGCCCCGATCTTCCAATATATCAGGGGACAAAGATTTCCAAAAATACAATGTGAGAAAGGCCATAATGGAAGCAAAAGCAATGGAAGATATGGGATGATCATAACTGGCTCTGTCCAGAAAGTGGGTGTCCGACAAGAGCTTCTAAGAGTAAAATTTGTACTAAGTCATGAAAGCTGGGTAGTTCTTCAGAGGAAAATAAATCAAAAAAGTGATAACTGACACATACAGCAGACACCCTACCTTGATGGTCCTGTCCAGAGATGCGCTGGCAAACTGATTGTTATCTTTGGGGTTGATCACAATCTGCATAACATAATGTGTGTGTCCTTCAAACACTTGGGAACAAGACCATTTTTTATCCCAGTCCCAGAGCTTAATAAGCATGTCATCTAGGCCAAAAGAAAGTCTCAAATTAGTTGCAAATATTTTTTTTCAATTTAAGAACTAAGACTCTCTGTGTTTTTCAAGGCAACAAACCTAAAATAAATTACACCTTCTGTAATTTTTAAAAATTGAATCAAAATTGAAGAAGATTTTTCAAAAATCCTTTATTTATCCTCAGGAAAAACTTAACTCTTTATAAGAGTGGATATAAAGTAAGTAAAACAGATTACAAACAGAAAATACTAAAAAAATCTTGTGAAAAAWTTTTTTTTAAAACTCAGTGGGCTTCAAAGAATGACAAAAGTGCAATACAAGTCTGTCTGAATAATAATAGTAATGACTATTGCAAGAATAAGCATTTGCTCTTATGAGATTGGTTAAAAAAGTTCTCAATTTTTAATTTAAAAATGTTTCAAAGAGCTATAACCAATTCAGCACTGCTCATTTAATTGCTCTCCCAAAGGTCTGCTGTTTTATACATAATACCAAGGAGTGAAAAAGACTGAATATAAAGATAAAAGTGACTAGGGTCTATGGCAATCTGCCAACTCACTCATCAGTATGTAAACGAGCTTTCTGTTCAGCAGATGTTTAAACATCTAGACCTTCAGGTCTTCCCTGACAGGAATTGGAGCAATTGCTATGCAATCCTAAGTACAGTTGATATTCCATTAAAATACAAAAGCAAGCAGCATCAATAGCACAGTAATAGACTTAAATGGTTTAAAAGCTGCTTGAAATTAGAACTCTACTTGTAATAGCATTTAAAGAATAGCATGTCTTACTGAATGAAAATGCATTACCCAAGATACCCATGACCAAAAGAGGTCATCTCTTACCACTGCTAGTCAGAATGAAAGGCTGGGTTGGGTGAACAGCAATACAGCGAATGTAGTCTGAGTGTGCTTCAAACATATGAACTCTCTCCAGAGTATTGTAATTGAACACTCTAATCTGCATGTCATCCTAGCAATGGAAATTTAAAAACCACTGTTACTATTAGGAAGTAAATTGCATGAAAAAAACCACTGTTACTATTAGGAAGTAAATTGCATGAAAAACTCTATTATAAGCTCAAAGTATGAAGTCCATGCTTCAAAATACTGCACTAATGAACAAAACAAATCAGGAATCAAAATTCTGCAATTAATTTACATGATCATTGGCCAATTAAGAAAACAGTATTACAAATTATATAATTACTTACTGCTCCCGTCACAACCCAATTCTTTCTTGCAACAAACTTTGCAGCTCGAACAGGAAGATCACACACTTCAAATGTCTTCACCAGTGTCTTTAAAATTTAACAATACACATATTAAGTCATGAGAAAATAACTGAAAAATCTATTCTAATGTATTTAAAACATTTGACTATTAAAATGACTTTTAATTAAAAATACTCCCAGACTAAAATATGAATGATCAACATTAAAATTAAAAAAGGACTGATTATCTTTTTAATAGATTTGAAATCAAAGAGTTTTAAAAGACAAGAGAGAACAAGTTTCCAAAAGAAGGTATTTCAGATCTTCTGTGCTCTGGCCCTTCCCTCACTTTCCAGACTTACCTTCACTACTCCCAGCCTCATTTCTGCYCCTGTTCCCTCTGCCTGGAAAATCCATGCATGCTAACTGTACTCTCCTTTCCTAACACAGCACTGCATAATTCATGCTTAATTTCAATATTCCCTATTATGCTCTCTAAGGRCAGGAATCATCTTTACCATTGTATACCCAGAACCCAAAATAGCAGTTGGTACACAACTAGTGGGTAACAAGTATTTGTTGAATAAATTAGATCTTAGATTCTTCTTTTTAAAACTGAACCCATAGAAGTAACTCAAACAAGATGTTTCTTTTATACACCTTAGTAACATACTTCCATATGAATATTTATATGCTGTCAGTAAGTATCACAACATAGTGATTTAGATGCCCCTTCAAAGTAGGTTATATACATAAGACAAAGGTAGAAAACTAGAAGACCTCCTGGAAAGTGCAGAGGCATCCCTCCTTGATACCTGTTCTTTAAGATTCTAAAAAAMCAAACTTCATTTTGAAATTACTTTATGTTCCAGAAAGCAAGAATGAAATAAATAAGGAACATAATATAATCTTACTAGTTAAAAACCATGTACATTAAAGAAAAAGTAATAGAAACTGGTTCACTGTTGAGCTTACTCTGGCTTCCCAGGCCAGACTTTGCCTTAGACAAAGCTTGAACAAATTGGGCTTCAATGCTCACCTACACATCTGCTACAATTGACTATGATATACACATTGAGAACAGAGAACATGTAATCTATAAGATAGCAGGAAAATCCATCAATGCTCATAAGGAGCCAACAAATCCTGGGATATGAGAAACAGTGAAAATAAATTAGCTGTAGAACAAACTATCACGGTTCAGCATCATGATAGGTACTGTGGCTGGTACAGCTACATGAGAAATGGTCTCCACACTCTGGAGCTAAATGATCCACAGAAAAGGAAAAGCTACACTTAGTACATACAAATGCCCAATGCAAATTAGGAAAGCAATGACTAATATTTACATAGCCCTTTACAGGTCTCAAACAATTTTACCTAATGTTATTTAATTCTATTAACAATTATGTGATATAAGATTTTTAAGAACATCATCTTTAGTATAGATAAAATAAAGTGATACTCAGTGTGGTTAAAGGCTTTTCCATATAATTTAATCAGCAAGTTGGCTTTGAATCCTAAAATACTTTTAAAAAAACACACAACAAAACAAATAAACAACAAAAAAAATCCCATTACATCCACTCAAGAAGTATATAATATCTCCTTTTTTGAAATTCAAGTACATCTGAATTAACTTCTAAAACCCTTTTGGCTCTCTTAAGAATCTTATTCTCAATATACATAAATGGCAATTAACTTCTGTTAGTGATAGAGGGGAAAAGGCAGACAGAACCAAATATAGATCACTCAATAATTACTGAGTCTGATAAATACTGCCACACTGTGCCCCATGCACTGGAGGGACAATGGGAAGGAAGATAGTGGGATCCCTGTCCTCAGAGAACCCCCAATCTCAGAGAAAAGAAGGAAATTAAACAAGAAATTACCAATGAGATGAATTACAAAGGTGGAAGCAGAGAGCCCAGCAGGAGGACACAGAAGGGAACAACAAAGAAAGCAGAGGCAAAGTGGATGACCTAGGTAAAGCAGAGGTATTTGATAGTAAAGCCTAGAGGAAACATGAARGAACTATATCTGGCCTATAGAACATATGACAGTGAAATAATAATGCTGGTAGATGGGTAAACTGAGCCAACAGAGGAAATCCCCAGGAAGAGGAGAATCCTACATATCTGTTAAGCATAAAATATAAGGACTTTAAACATTTGGATGGAGAATTAGACCAAAGGGGAGCAGAGTGGGAGAAAGAGAGAAAAGCTGGTCAGTATATTATCTTTATTAAGCAAATTGCAGAGAACAGAAATTATCAACTGGTGATAAAAAACATTCCTTTTATTCTTTAGTTCAGCAAATGGGTATTAATAAGTTACTATGTGTCAGGTAATAATATAGGCACTGGGATATAGCAGAGAACAAAATGTTAACGAGTATAAAACATCATCCTGATGGAGCCTGGTTCAGTGTGTGGTCACTGTTGTTTCACTATAATGAGTGTAAAGCATACAAAGGTGTTTTTAGCTTTACTCCTGACCTTGGCTTGCTAATCCTATTTTGCCATCTTAAATTCCTCAAATGTAAATTTTATCAGATTTCAAGATGGATATTGATGATAACTACTATTTGAGCAGTTACATCACTGTATATTATAATGCCAATGACATGTTTTGTACATTGAAAGAAAAATTTTAAAAGACAATCTGAAATACTGCAGAAAATATGAAAAAAATTTATTTGAAGGATACATTATTTACTTAGGGGAAAGAGAATAATGTAAGCATTAAGGCAGACAATCTAGAATAGGCATACTCTCATAAGTATAACCAAAAGTTGACTATGAATATTTCTGTGTTTGAAAGTTACTTGCATATTATTACATTGAGTATTTGGGTAAACAATTAACAATCCTCTCTTAAAGATGATCAGAATAGTCACTGAATAGAAAATTAAATATGAACTACTAAATACTTTATAGCAAACCATCTTACTTTAACATCCGTTTCCTCAATTTCAAAGAGTTAATTCTACCTATATTAGAGTAACTAGATTTAAATATCACATATAACTTGTCCAGAAGAGTTTCTCTCATAAGCTATACCCTCCCAAATGTAGTTGCACTTTATTTAAAATACTTTGTATCAAGTTATTTTAGAGAGTAATATACTCATAGCTACTGCTATCTATTATGACAGTTCTCTTCATTATAAAATAAAAGTCCAACACTGCATTTTATTTCTAAAAAATTCCTTTAAAAATCCTACCTGTGTTTCATGATTCCAAACACACACACTGCCATTGTACAGACTTGCCAACATCCATGGCTCTGTAGGATGCAAATCCACACTCTTAACTCGATCGGATCTAGCGGTTAGCTTTCTCTTGATATCAAGTCGGAGAGGCTAAGGAGAAAAAAAACATTAAAACAAAAATCAAATTGTTTAGTCAAATTAAATATGAGACTGCAACTACAAATAGTATGTTAATAGGCCTATAAAACAATTCTGTTTTTATTTTGCTAAATTATAGGCACAGTTTAAAGCACCTACTTCTCCAATCATATGTATAAAATATGAAAATATCTAAAAATATTAAACTTACAGTTTTCAAAATTTTAATTCTCAGTATCCTTGACATCTAAAATTTGTAGGACCCCCCAAAGACTTTTTAATCATATTTACTAATGTTTAATCATATTTACTATCCATGGCTCTGAAAATTTCAAAAGAAATTTAATGAGAATAGTGGCAATGTTTTATATTTTTGTAAAAACTCTTTAGATTTTTGACTCAATAGGAGATTTTTTTTTTTTGGTATCTGCTTCTGTCTTCAATATATTAGATAATAGAGTTGGAAAGAATATTTTAATTTTTGAAAAAATAGAATTTTCTTCTTTGATACCACATTAAAACTCAAGTGGTAGTTTCTTAAAAGATACTTGTAATGTGGAATCTGAAACCAAACTAATGAACTGCTTATGCTTTGTTAAATTAAAATCCAATGGTCTATCCTATACTTTGAGTGGCTTATTCATTCATTTTGTAGCATAACACATTGGTTATATGGGATATGTTGGTTCATTAAGTTAGGCATATCTTCCAAATGGGGATGTATTTCATTGTACTATATCAAAAAGATCATATTCATTAATCTCACCACCTACCTCAACTGATAAGTCTTTAAATATTAGAAATTCATCAAGTTCAGTGACAGAAGTTCTCTAAAATTCTAAATTTCACTTTGAAGTTCTAATTTGTCATTAGCAAATAATACTGTCTGGTACCAGCTAACTTCTTACAGTTTTTAAGATTGTGTTTAACAAATAATCAAGTCTGAATAACTAGTTTCTTCAGCTGTTGTTTCATGTAAATCCCCCCTGACTGTATAAGTGCCTTTCCATGAGACAACCATCACACTTCAGTAGGCAGCAACAGAGGTACTTTATGTACCCTCCTCACTTCATCATACAGAATTAAATGATGTGTACTCAAATGTTGGATGCAATGCCATTAATCACTTTTACTGTCTCATCAATGACATCCTTAAGTGAAACTGGCTTTTAAAAAATTGTGTGGCAATGGAGATATACTCTCAGTATAATTTGGTGCCACTGCATGAGCAGGCTTACCTTTCATTACTTTTACACCATTGGTGCAAATATTAACATAGTGAAAGAGGCCAACAGCATCTGACCATTAGGAAAACTTAATCTGTGGTCCCTCCTAGAAGAATAATGGGGATCTCTAAGGCATTGCAGAACACACTTTGAGCACCTTTGTTTATAAACTACCTACTGAATAAATTCAAAATAGCTGCTAAATCACAGCTCTGTGCCCATGTCATTAGCGTCATGGTAGAAAATATTCTGGGGCTGGGGATGTGGCTCAAGTGGTAGCACGCCTGCAAGGCATGCGCGGGGTGCTGGGTTCAATCCTCAACATCACATAAAATAAAATATATTGTGTCCACCTAGAACTAAAAAATAAACATTAAAAAAAGAAAATATTCTGAAGAAATGTTATTCATAAAGTCTTAGTAACTCTAAGTCATAATAGTAAAAGAGCTCTTCAGAGAAAAGCATATTTATTTTGGCAGAAAAATATGAAACATGAAATGAATATCTACCAGAGGTAATTTCCTGAGACAAAGCAAATACCTCATGAGGCATTCATTTATCTTGTTTGAATCTCTATCAAATGTGGGTCACAGATTATTCCAGTCTTTGCTCTTACTTTTTCCTATTCATACCTCCTATACTTTTAGCAACAACCTTTACCTTTTACTTAAAGGATTTGAGTTCTCTGACTCTTCAGTTGCCTCAAAAAAAAAAAAAATGTTTCTACYGTCATATCTTCGTTCTCAAACTTTCTACTATGAAACCATTATCTCTGAATTCCTTGCTAGTTTGAGGGAAGCAAAACTTTCTGCTTCATCCATTTCTGAAATTTGTCCCACTAATTACTATCAAAAATTTAACATCTTTTTCTGGTCTTCTTACAGTTAGAATAATGGCAATATTTCATTATAAAAATACTTGATACTTAAAAATGAAGTTACGCAAATCTAAGGGATTTTTTTTTTTAAATGTCCATACTGTAAGCACAGGAGACCCAAACCAGCACAAGTTGTTAATAATGATGTCTTTGTGCTAGGAACCTGGGTAGGTACACATCCAACATTGTTCTTCTAGAATTAAAGAAACTGGACTCTAAGCCACTTATTTTACTGCAACAATGTTTTAATTACTAAGTAAAAGTAATGCTTCAGAAAGTGGGTCAGGGAACTCTGAACATGAGTTATCTCTACATACTCTGGAAGAGCAAATCCCAGTTTAAAACACACAGGTAAATGTGTGCTCCTGCTCTATTTCCTTGAACATTTCAATGATTACTTTGAATAAGGTTCAAGCACATGGGAACAAAGATGATTATGATGCTCATTCTGTATCCTCCAGCTCCAAAAGTTTCCCTCCATCTTCCAAAAGATGGATGATTCAGGTAAATGCAACTGTCATCAATAAGGCCTTTCTTATTACCCTAGTCTGAAGTATTCTTTCCTAGAGGCTACTGCAGGATTTAATTTTAACTGTTCATGGTAAATTTTGCATATATCTCTTCTTGCTTCTTAGAGTAGACACYTAAGGACAGGGTCACTGCTTACACGTCTTTATTTGCACAGCATTTTATATATTTAGGAATTGGGAGAGAGTTAGGAATAAAGTATAACTCAGTACTACAGAGTCACACTGGATTCAAACTTAAGTTCCAATGTATCAGCTCTACATTTCCTAAGTACAATCCTGGGTAAGTATATTTAACTTCTCTGAGGTTTGACTTATGTAAAATGGTGATAATACTAATATATACCTTTTGGTGTTATGAGAATTTAATTCAGAGTCCAGTTGCAACAGTACCTGGCTATATAATAACCACTCCATAAACAKTATTTATAAAATCTCTCTACCAGCTACTGAGAGAACTAAGTGGCAAATGTTAGCAAAGTGCACAGCACAGAATAAACACTATTGTAGTAATAAGCAAACGAATAAATTCACAATTTGTGCTTTCCACAGAAATTGTTCCTAGGTATTGGGAAAGGAATGAGTCCAGTGCCCCCCACTCCACCTCCATGGATATCCACAGATGCTTAAGTCAAATTATGAAAAATGATGTAGTATAGGACTTACAAGGTCCTTCTGTACACTTTAAATCATTTCTAAATTACTTAAAATACCTCATACATTGTAAATGTTGTAAGTAGTTGTAATACTATATTTTTTAGGGATGAAGAACAAGAAAAAAAAAAAAAAGCCTGTACATGTTCAGACAATTTTTTTCCAAAATTTTCAAACTGCAGTTTATTTAATCTGTGGATGTATAACCCAAAGAAATGGAGGGGCTGACTGTATATTAAAGAATAATGGCAATATTTCAATATAAAATACTTGATACTTAAAAATGAAGTTAGGCAAATCTAAGGGCTTTTTTAAAAAAATGTCCATACTGCAAGCAGAAGAGACCYAAACCAGYACAAGTTGTTAATAATATAAAGTGTATAATCAAGAGATTTAAGGTCTTTCTCAAGGGCTCTGAACCTGGGGAAAAGAGAGTCTACAGATTAAGTATGGCTTGGCAGGAGCCGTCTGTGAGGGGCACCTTTACATTGCAAAACGGGGTTTTTCTCTGAGTATTCTTCTGGCACTATCCATAACTTTCATAAGTTTCCCCAAGAGATCAACCTCTGATCCAACTTTACCACAATGAGACTTGTTAAACTTAATTTTTTAACTGCAAGATAAAGGACTTGAAATGAGTATTCCACAGTCTTCAAGCTCCAAAATATCTGACCGTGTACTCCCATGTATTAAAAAAGGCAGAAAAATGTTTACAAAAATACTTTCTTTTTTTTCAGAAAAGATATTCTCACTATTGTTTTTCTTCATCATTATAATACAGTTATGCAAAGGCATTATAGGGAATGTTTGCGAGTAAGTGATAATAAAAATGTGCTGTCCTGATTGCTTGCTATTACTACCATTCACTGCTTTCACTGCATTTGCAATACTGAAAAAGCATATTATCAAGCTTTAAAAAMAACTTCCCAATCCTTTTCCCTCTAGAAAACTAAGAGCTGGCTCCCAAAATATTAGAAATTTCATACTGCAAGCACAGGAGACCCAAACCAAGAATTGGGGGAGGGTTAGGAATAAAGTATAACTCAGTTCTACAGAGTCACACTGGATTCAAACTTAAGTTCCATACACATTTTATYGACTTTCCCCCCTTCTTCTCTGCTTAAATTCATAGTTTGCAGTCAGCACACTATCCAGGAAAAAAACCCGACAGGARTGCAAGATTAGCTGTCACAGTCTTCAGCGTAGAATGGAGTACTTTTGCTAAAACTGCCCAGAGTTCAACGTTTTTCCTAATCCAATGACCCCAATGCAGACCTTAGATGATTTGGAAAGCCCCTTAAGGCCCAAGGGGTGTCAGAGACCCCTYACTGAACAGACATTGCCTCCAAAACCAGCCCAGTCTGCTGGTCCCCATCACCTCCTCCCTCCCAGGGCTCAAACAGAACCGGGCCAAAGGCGGTGGCCGCAGCCGAAGCACAAACCGCTGCTTATCGCGGCCCTCAGCCGAGGAACCCCAGGAATGGTCCGCAGCCGATAGGACACCTACCATGGCTCCGTCAGTCCGAGCCCGGGAACTCACTTGATCCCGGCGGCAAAGGGCCTGAGAAACCCACCGACCCACAGACCGGCCGACTGACTGACGTGGAACTTCCGGGAAATGATTCTCGCGATAGTCAGAGGCCGGGCCTAAGCGCCTGCGCAAATCCCGCTCGGGGGCTGGGATATCCCAAGTCCCGCCCCAGTTTCCTAGGCAACGTGGCCCGCCCAGCCACCAGGAGMAGGCGAGGCTTACTTTGGAGGGCGGGGTGTGGCTTGGGAGTGGAGGTGTGGCCTGCGCGGCGGCGGAACGTATCCCGGAGCTGCGAAGCGCCGGCCAGGATTTTAAAACCCGGCGTTGTAAAGGATGAGAAAGGCCAAATGCTGCGTGTCCGCTGGACACTAATGGCAGGGAAAGCGCCTGGATGGTGGAGTTGGTCGGGGAGGCGGGAAATCGCATCGCAACTCTGCTCTGGCTCGGAGAGGAGGGGCGGGGAGAGAAATGGCGAAGCAAGTTCTAAAACCTGTGTGCTCTGGTGAATTTGAGTACAAGGTCGAGAGTTCTCTGTGGGCCCTGTAAGGCCCTGATGGAGGAGAAGATAGGGGCCCAACTCCGGGCCTCCGAGGTCAGAGAAGGCTTGGGAGCCTGCAGTTCTCTAACCGAGGGCGATTGCCTTTCATTGAGCATCCCTGAGTGCCAGTGACTCGCTTTGCGCACATTTATCAGTCTTGGATTGTGTGCCAGCTTCACATCAAGTCTGAGTTATCGCTCTTTTACTAATGAGGTAGCTAAGGGTCCGGACAATTTATTGTCCTGGCCAAGACCTCTTAGTAAATATAGTGTCGGGATTTGAACTCGAAATGGACGTGTCCTGAAAGCCTGCGCTGTGTCTACTATATCCAAGTGGTAGTTGAGTTGTAGAAGAGGGGGCCTGTGCCATCGGTCTTGCAAAGTAAAATGCAAGAACATCCCTTACATTCTGCCTTTTTTCCATTTAAGAAACCATCAGGGGGCAAACAACTTGCCCTCTGGCTACATGGGCTGACAGACATTATGTGGAGACTTTTTATCTCTCCACCTCCTAGGTTTTCAAAAAGGCAATAAGTGTGTTTTGACAGTAATATTCAAAGGTAGGTATTAAAGAATTGCCTTTTAGTAGGATCCTCTAATGTGACTTCTTCGTGGATTCAGTTTTCCTTATGTTAAAAAAAAATCAGGCTACAGAATTTCTAAACACCCTTCCATTTTTACTATCCTGTTTTTCAGTTACATTCAATAGTAGAAGAAAAGTGGCTCTGGAATTAGATTTTAGTGCCAGCAGTATGACCTCATGATTTGTAATTGAGGTTAATAATTGCATAGTTAGTCTATTGAACGACTGAGGATCACAAGAATTTGTTGAAAATTTAACAAATAAAAATTATATCTAATATGCTTGACTAGTGAAGCTTTCATTATTTCTGGTTCCTGACTTGGGTTTGAAGCAGAACCAAGATTACAAAATAAAACGCTGGATCATCTCTATTTCAAAGGGGCTCAGTTAAGGATTCTTAAATCTTTATGTACCACTAGACACAAAAGGATTTACCTAGCTGGTGTTGATGAAGGGCTGAGCCCCAAGTGTCATGCTCATCTTGTATCATTTCAAAAAATTCCTCTGTAGTTAACTTACATTGAGTTCTGTAATTATAGTCTATAAATTAATTATTTCTACCATGACATATTGAAATTGCACTGTAAGAAAATCACTAGGTGCTGCCTTAAGATAATATCCCTAAAATGTTGACATTGAGGTTTGGTTGAAAGAAGTTTCATTTTAAAGAAGTAAAGTTTTCAAGTGTGAACTCATACATACACTACTGTTAAATATATGTATGTATATCCCTATGTGTTCAACTGTGGGCTTAAAATAAAATCTTTTGTTTACTCTTTGGTTTAGAGGAGACTGGAAGGTTAGAAAAATAGCTCCAGGGAAGAAAAAAAATATGGACAAGCTTAGCAAATTGGTGAAGGGTTTCCCAAGAGGTTGACTGCAATTGATCAACAGATCTTAAAGTCTTACCTGGTCAATTTCCAGGATGGCTGTTTCAGCCCTGCCTTTTGTTGCTGCTGGGAGAATTCCAAGTGGGTATTCTGCCAGCAGAGCCTCTATCAATACCCTAGATGCACACTTGCCTCCCCATCCTGTCCCTACCTTTTTATAAGAAGTTGAAGAAATGAAAATAATTCCTTAAGGAAATATCTACTTTTGTATGTTTGTTTTTACTTTTTAATTTATGTGCATCATCATTTAGCAGMGTGGTGAGTAGGAGAATACATACGAATCTAGTTTCTTCCTTCAAAGTGGTTATGATATATAATCAGGAAGGCTCAGTTATGCCCAAATAATTGAATACCAGACAATGTGAATACCCTGGGAGTATTTGAGTATCAATAAGGTAAAGGTAAAATGAAATACCCAGTTGGAGAGATAACAAGTTTCTTGAAATTAAGACAGAATTTGAAGTGAAGAGTACCTGAAATGTTGAGGATTAGAATATGTTCAGTTTGCTTAGAGAATGGAGTTCATAGAAGAGCAGGAAGGGAGAAGAAAGGTGAGGAAGGTTATGACTAGAATCTGAAGACTTTGAGAAACAACATTGGGCTTTGATTCAGTAAAGCAGTTGGGAACCATTGGGCCAGAGAAGAAACCTGTTTTTATTTGTACTCGAAGATTTACCTTTTGTTGGTGTGTATGACACATTGGAAGTAATGAGTCAGAACAGAGAGACTAAAAGTTCAGGAAAAGTGAATGTGGAAAAAATAGTAATAATAACTTTTTATTGAGTGTCTGCTATGTACAAATCCACAGAAATACACTGGGTACTGCAATTCACATAGTAATACTAAAAGATAGGCATTCTTTTATCAAATTTATAGGTGAGAAACTGAGACTTCCATGTAACATGTTCCATGTCACATTGTTCATGAATGAAGGACAGATCTGAGGTATGACCCCAAGTCATATCTAATTATCCTAATTCCCTTTTTACTGGACTGTAATTGCTCCTTTTTTCTCTTGATAAGTGAGAGTCAACTGGATACACAAATTGAGTTTGTTAAGTTGAGGAAGTGGGAGACATCTTAATGCTGATGTTTTGAATCTAGTAAACCCAGAGGAATATCTTTAATTAGAGAAAGATGTGGATCTGGTGAATGTTAGTGGAATGAGTGAAGAACAGCAAAGAAAGAGACCCAGGAAAGAAGAAAAAGTGAGAGAAAAGGAATCAGTAAATGAACAGTTGTTATAAGAGCTCCCAGAAAATCATGGTACCCAAGGAAAAGGAAGGGAAAATGAAACAAGGTGACTAGCAGTCTTGGTGGCATTAGAAACTACTTAGCAAAAACTATTTCCAAGGAATGATGTGATTATGAGGACACTAGTAACCTTTAAAAAAGCATTTTCAGTTGAGTAGTGCTAGAGGAAGCATGTTTGCAAGGGAATAAGAAATGATTGGATGATAAAAAATTGGAAGTTGTGAATAGAAACCATTTACCAAGAGATTAGTGGTAAAAAAGCAAATGTTGATATGAGAGCTGTAGCACTGAAAGTAGGTTGTCTATTTCTACATTTAGGGTGATGACATCAATTACATTATGATAACACTCTAAACTGATATATGCAGCTATGGACCTTTGCAGTATGAGCAGGAAAAAACTAGGCACATATCAAGAGACTCTGTGCAAAAAACAATCAATTTTTCAGCATGCCTGGGCCAGAGAATAAGGAGGGAAGATTGAGAAATGGTACTAGAAAGACAGATGAGGCTCAGCTTCTGAAGGTCCATGATTGTCAGTTTAAGGAACCTGGATTTTATCCTGAAGGCTCTGGGGAACCATGGAAGAATGTTAAGTAGGAATAATCTTCATGCTTCACTACTGATTCATCACTGCCCAACAGTTACTTTCCCTATTAAAGGAAATGTTAAGATTGTCAGATGAATTTCTGCATAAAGTGAATGAAAGTTTTGACCACATGGTCACATATCAACCACCAGCAGACTAAATTGAGTTGGCAAATCACTGAGCTGTCTTCCGGAAAGAGCAAAGATTTGATTGCTGGACATTTAGAAGCAAAGATTTGGCTGATTGCAGAAGATTTGATTGACCACAGTGTGCTGTGCCCATCATATGACTGATTACCTGATAAGAATTTAAAATTTGTTAAAAACAAATGTACAGCATGGGATTTTGGATGGAGAGGATAGTCACATTTATTTTTGCCTAAAAGGGTAAAAATCTAGATTGTTGGTCAGGTTTTTGACTTGTGTGCAATTTTACCTTTTAAAACTTTAAATTAACCTCATGTTTCTTTAATAAAAATTTTTTAGAGGAATCAGAGGTTAAAATGAGTTTTGAATGAAGTGAAGGAAGTTATTTCCGAGATGGGAATTGTTTAACATGTAAATATGGTAGGCAGCGTTTTTAGGAGTTCGTCATTTGGTGACCTAAGTATCCTGGACCCTATTGTTCATACWTGGAGTGCCAAGACCAGCCATGGTAAGTCATGACCAGCAGACTGGGCACTTTGACCCAGGGTTGTGTTGTGGTGTGACCTCTCTAGGTCTCAGTTTCATGACCTACAAAATAATGTTGGACAGCATGAGCTCTAAAGTCCCTTCTCAAGAGTCTGTCATTCTCTGCTTTTGTGATGTTAAGTGGATGAGGAGGGTGGTTGAAGGACGTACAAGTGGACATTTGCTTTCACATCATTCACGTGACAAGGCAGAGCTCTTCCCACATATTTCATGGCATGCATTACTCCTTTTCTCTGGAAGCCACCTTTGTCAATGGGTTTTTGTTGGGACTTCATTATGCTTGGAACAATGCCCTATGAACCCCAGGGTCCCAAGCACAGGGCAAGGAGCATGGTAGGTTCAAGGGCACCAGAGTGGAGGCCCAATGGTGCATAGTATGCAGAGTCGCTGAGGAGCTTTCTCTTAGCCAACCTTTAATTTTCTTTCCAGGGAAAAGATTTCCCAAAGTTTTACATAACCAAGTTGATAAGTTTAGAGCAATTATTTTTCTTTAAGAATTATGTCCTTGCAAATGACAGTGCTGCATAAAAATAAATGAATAATAATGACAAATAG